TTTTAATCATATATTTTTACTTGATAAGAATGTTCTATTAACAAATATTCCAGTTGCATTATATGTCAGAAATAAAGTGTACATCTGTATGACTGACCTTTGAATATGTAAAATGGAGAGGTGTATAGAAGTCACAAGGGTCTTATAAATCATGAAAAATAAGGTTAGCTATTCTCAGATATGACATTTGGTGTTGGAATTTCCAGGACCAAATGTCTATGATTTAACTGTTAACAAAACAAAGCTTCTGTGACTTAAGACAAGAAAAGGGACCTCTAAAACAGGGTAGTACCTCAGGTTTCTCTCATATCTTGTTTTGATATCACTGTCTTGTTTAGGAGTTTTCTTCCATATTGAAATTCAGTGGTAAATAGCCATCTTGTGAACTATTTACAACACATGATTTTAAATAATTTTGTTTTTTTGATCTCCCATAACCAATCACATGCTCCCACAATTATTTAGATAGATGGAGGGAAAACGTCAAAGAGAAAATCTGAAGAACAGTACTGAGGGGAGTTCCAATGAGATCAGCCCTGGGAAGGAACTGCTGCTCTTTTTCTTTTCATCTGACCATGTGAGTAGATGCAGCATGGAGGGCAGAGGGAACCGAGCCATATATACATAAGGATAAATAATGAAAATCTTGTTGTATTATATTATATTGCGTTCAATGTTTTTGTATTAATACTTATGACAAAATGTGGTAGCTTAATTTAACAGACAATATCCATATATGTTATTTTTACATACACGTGTTTTTGTGTTTTATTTGTCTACATTCCCTAAAGAATTACCTTGAAAGAGGGTCATCATTTATTTTACACCAAGCACAATCCAATTTATGCAACACAAGCCTTTATTTTTGCTAAAATTGTTTTATTTTGCACATTCATTAATATCCCTAATTTTTTTTGTAAATAGAAAAACAAACTAACCATCATCTGGGTTTCTTCTCAATCCCTAGACATTGAGGAAGAGTAGATGAATTGGTCCTGTTCTCCAATCTACCATCATCAGTTGTGCCATGGCTTTACAATATGAAAACATCTTCTTTGGCTATAAAGCCTGCTGAGATCTCCTTCACTGCTGCCTCCACAACTATCGTTGCCACCACTATTAGTTGTATTCAGCCTTTGGACAGCTGTATTAGCAGCATGTCCATGGCATCTGATTTATCAACCAAGAAAAAACTGAATTTTTCTTAGTTCTTTTCATACTGCAATAATTAACTTCTGATGCCCCTTTCCACTGCAGTTCCTTTTACCACTGCTAGTTCAAGCATTTTGTGTCTTATTCAGATTCAACATTATTATCACTGTACAATGTGCATACAAGGCCAATGAAACACAATTGGCCTTGAACAGAAATGTAAAAGCAATTAATAATAATAAATGTAGTCTCAATGCAAACTTTTTTTACAATCTATTCTAATACCATCATTTCCCTAGTACTTATGAAATACAATCCATTGATACACATTCTAAGACTAATAATACAAGGTCATTATACAACAGTGACAGTATATACAGGTTCAATATACAACTTATAGCCCCCAATCTTGGTAAAGATTATATCCCATATAAACCACCATACCTGTGCAATAAGTGTGTCAACTACAATACAGTTAATACATATAGTGCAAATTAATATCCTTAACTTATGACAAAGTGCTTAATGTGAGCCCAAAGACCACATGCATGAAATGCAAAGTGTAAGCGCATAAACCATATACATAAATTGCAAAACATGAGCACATATGGTAAGTGCAAAATGGAAGCACATAAAATGTGCAGATACAGAATGTGGACACATAAACCATGTGCAAAAAATGCATAATGCATATAAAGTGCAAAATGTGAACACGTAATCATGTGCATAAAGGTGCAAAATTCAATCAAATCAACCATATGCATAAGTGCAAATGTGAGCACAGTATGTGCACTTGTGGCACAATACATGATGTGCAAATTATATATTAAACATAAACAAGTGCAAATAAAACCATTAAAGGACCACTATAGTGCCAGGAAAACATACTCGTTTTCCTGGCACTATAGTGCCCTGTGGGTGCCCCCACCCTCAGGGACCCCCTCCCGCCCGGCTCTGGAAGGGGGAAAGGGGGAAAAACGTACTTTTTTCCAGCGCTGGGCGGGGAGCTCTCAACCTCCGATCCTCCTCCGTTCCTCCGCGCGCATTCAGCCGGTCACATAGGAAAGCATTTACAATGCTTTCCTATGGACGCTGGCGTGCTCTCACTGTGAAAATCAAAGTGAGAAGCACGCAAGCGCCTCTAGCGGCTGTCAATGAGACAGCCGCTAGAGGCTTTGGGGGAAGGCTTATCCCATTCATAAACATAGCAGTTTCTTTGAAACTGCTATGTTTATAAAAGAATGGGTTAATCCTAGCTGGACCTGGCACCCAGACCACTTCATTAAGCTGAAGTGGTCTCGGTGCCTAGAGTGGTCCTTTAAGTGTAAATTAATATAATATACAAAGGACTTGTACAAGCCATTAATGTAGTAAAGAAATGTATCCTCCTAGCAAACAAACCACTATAAGTCACTCTTAATACAATTATATTATGCTGCCATTGCTTGTGTTGCTGCCTATTACTTGCATGTCCTCCCCACCCCCCAAGAAGTAAGGGAGAGTTCAGCAAAATAATGTGTTGGTTCCATCAGTGCCACTCTTTATTGAAGATGTTGAGTAGAGTACTCAGGCATTGTCCCCAATGTCCCCATTGTCTGCTCTTGGCAGTAGTAATAAATCTAGTGATGATCATATCAATCTCATCCCTACTGGACATTTGTTTAAGTCGGTCCCAGGAGGAACAAATCTTTGATACAGAGCAAGTACTAAGCAAGAGTCCAGCAATCCACTATTTTTGTCACCTACTGAGAACTCACCACTTTCCTTAGTAGGTGTTAGTTGCTCTGTACACATCCTACAACTTATAGTGAAGGGTGTAATTCACAAATCCAACACAAATATACTAACTATATTAGATAATTGTTTGAGGATTACTGGGCATTTCCACCATAGTGTGAAGGCTAGCCAACTCTTGAGGCAGGAGCAAAAGAAACCAGGCCTTCCCACACACTGTCTAATACAGAATGTTTACACATGATGGAACTCTACTCTACTTTAGACATGCTGGAAATATATTTGGAACAGCAAAAGTATTGCCTCTCAACTTAGGCAGGAGGATTGGACAATAAAAGGGCAGCTTAGTGTCAGTTCTTATTCCATTTTATTATATCCTGGGTGAGTCTTGGAGTGTGACTAGACCAGCTACCTTTGCCAATGCAGTTGGGAGAAACTGATAGGCCACTGTTTTATTCTCACACTTAGGGATGTTTACTGGTCAGGGAGGCAGGAGTAAGTGTGCGCTCAATTGGTCACTTTTTCCTTTAATTTTTTCAAAAATCCATTTTTTTCCACCTTAATTTTATTTTTTTATCTTGACTGAATTCTTTCCCAAAATGTTTCAGAACAAAATTTTGACAAGTCAAACTGCAACTATCCCATTTATCTAATTAAATGCATTAAGTGGTATGGCAAAACATTTTTTTTTCTCCATGCATAAGTCTAATGCATATAGATTGTAAGATCTTATAGAAATAGAGCCAAAAAGGGCCATCAACTCTTCCTGTATTTATTAATGATATTTTGTACTGTCTCAAGCATTTAACAGATTCCAGGTGAGACATCTGAAATTGCTGTCCAGAACACTGAAGTTCTAGGAACAGCTAAGATAATGCATAGAACCCTCAGACTTTCAGGCCTCTGCAGTACCCAGTCGTGAGGAATACATAAAAGTGTGCCGACCCCACTTGGGTGATTCAGTCTGCGGGCTGTCATCTCACTATTATTGGTAAGTTAGTTTTAATATTTGTTATATGTTGGCACGTTGGCACTTTTACTCTGGATCTTGATAAAGACCCTATTGGGTCGAAACATCGATTTTGTACACAGATGATTGTTTGACTTGATTTGAAACTGGATTTATGGATTAAACACAGTTTGTTTTTGAAGACCTTGGAGTGCACCCCTTCTTTTGTTTGTTTGTTACACATTCAACACGGATTTTGCACCGAGGCGAGTTAACTATTCAAGTATTCAAGTTTTTTTTATTGTGGTGTGCCAAGCACATTTATAAATATATATATATATATATATACATATATATATCTAAATATATATATATATATATATATATATGAAACAAGGGGGAGGTTGGCTGCACTCACCTGAACACAGTGGTGTGTCTTGGTTTTGTGCTGCCCTAGGTGAGACTAAACTCGGGCACCCCCCTAATATAAATTTGACCCACCCCTTCCTGTCAAGGCCAAACCCCTTTCTGTTTAGGAGCCACCCCTTCCTCTGTAAACCCCACCCCATTCCTCTTTAGGCCCCACCCTTTCCTGTTAGAGCTTCACATCTTCCTTTCTGTATTTAAAAGTGAATAAGGAAAGCCAATATTTTGTGTTTTCTGTACCAAATGTTGCATCTATTATTTTAAGAGAATCTTTACATATAATAATATAAAGTGTAAATTCAACCACTTTACAAAGATCAGTCATCCAGGTCAACTATACTATATTGATCACAGACACTCAAATTGTTTGAAGTAGCACGTGGTCAGTCCACATGAGTAGTAACAGCACCAAGGTGTCAACAGCTGTTACTGGACATGCATACACAATTTGTGTCATTCATACAAGACAATCCCACTGTACATATCAACACATGCAGTCCATTACACTACTTTAGTCATAGCACAGACTTTCACACACCATTTACTTACATCAATCAATTCATCCTGAAACGGACACGATGAGGTTTTTAATAACTTAGATAACTTTAATTAAATATATAAATATATTAAACTGAAATGCAACTTGTTTAATACAACAAATAAAACTGTAAACATTTCTGACTTAAATAAGTGCAAACTGTTGAATATTAGACTATTAGATCTAAATCATACTTGGAAACTAAAGTGGCTTTCGCCGAACTCTCTGTGTGGCAAAGCTGTTGATAAGCTCATCATAGTCCAAAGACTTTGTGAGTTCAGACTCTATTGCCAACACTGCCAGGGAGTTCAATCTTTCCTCCCCCATTCTGGATCGCAAGTAGTTCTTCACTCGCTTCAAAGTAAAGAGAAAGAAGGCTCAGCTGAGCAGTTTGTTGCTGCAGTACACAAAAACATTCTGAGAGCAATGTCCACATTTAAATAAATACTTTGCAATCCTCTCTCTCTTATCATTCGGGACATTGCCAGAACAGAGGTATCTTCTGCAGAAGAATTTATTAAGTATGACCGAAAGTGGAGGCACTCATCAACAAAACACTCCTGTTCCAAGTCTTTGCTGTAAGGAGAACAAAGGTTATTTGCATGCTGTGAAATTGCTGATGGCTCAGTTTTTGATAGGTCAGTAATGAATTTAAACTTTCCAAAGAAAGAGTCATATGCCGTTTTTCTTCTCATAAGTTCAGCAACTAAGTTGTCACAAATAACATAAAAGGTGTTAATGCGAAAGTTTTCTTGGGCTACCTCTGCCTGTGTCTTGCTGGAAGTTGCTGAACCTTTCCTTGCTTGTACACCTTTCCTTTTAGACTCATTATCCTTCACAACTGATTTTTCCATTGCAGCAGCTTCGAAAGTCGGGAATATGTCTCTGGTTTCTCGAACAAACTGGATCAGTGACTCATACAGCTCCCCTACAATTCCAACATCAATGCCAATGCTTTGGAGTTTTTTGCTAACTGCACCAAATCTATCCAGGATAGTACTCCACAAACCACTCATAAGTGCAGTCTCCAGACGCTGTATTTTATTCAGAAGACCTTCAGCTTCCTTGCAGGTTCCTGGTGCCTCTGTGGTATTTTCCTTAATTTTTGTTAAAGCTTCGATTACTTGAGTCCAATTTCGATTTAAGCTTCGACAGGCATCTTCCCTGGCTGACCACCGTGTGTCAGATAATCTCTTTACCGCTAGAGTGTTTGGCACAGATGATAAATGTTCTTGTAAAATCTCCCATCTGTGAGTGGAAGCAGTAAAAAAAATGTAAAGGTATTGTAGGAGACCAAAGAATGAACAGGCTTCAGGACAACTTTCAGCAGCATGCTTTCCTACTAAATTCAAAGAGTGTGCAGAGCATGGAATATACACAGCAAGTGGGTTTCTTTCCAGAATTCTGGCTTGCAATCCTCTATAATGGCCAGACATATTGCTTGCATTGTCATATGATTGACCACGACAGTTGGCAATATCAAGATCATATGACTTAAGAGTGGTGAAGACCACTTCAGCCAGTTGTTCCGATTTATGTCCAGGATTTGGAATAAAACGTAGAAAGCGCTCAACCGGTAAGCCATCTTCCTTGACATACCTTAAGATGAAGGCCAGCTGATCCGTGTGGGAGCTATCAGGTGTTGAATCAACACTGATAGAGTAATATTTAGCAGCCTTTGCCTCCTTAACTATCTGCTTTGTAACAGAATCTGCCATAAGCTGAATAAACTGCTCACAGGTAGTGAATGAGAGGTAAGATGTGACTCCTTTTCCTGCACTGCCGTAACGGGCAATGTGTTCTGCTATAAATGGGTCAAATTCTGACAGAAATTCGAACATCATCATGTAGTTTCCGTTGTGTGTGGAACCAAAACGGTCATCTTTCCCTCTGAAAGCAAGTCCTCGAGTGCCAAGTGCCTTAACTGCAGCAACACTCTTTTTAAAACATTTCTCCAATATTGAATTTCATCAGAACGCTGCTTGGTAAGACTTTCATCAATTCTCCCCAGTGTACATGCTCTTGATTTTAAAGATAGCACACAGGATTTGTGTTCAGCTGAACGCTCGTGTTCATTTAATCGAGCCGTGCCATTTTTCCAGTCATTGAAGCCACTTTCTGCCAACTGGGATTTGCCACCAAACAAACGACATGGAGCACAAAACACTACTCCTTTGCTTTTGGAGTAAACCAAATAGGTCCTTTTTTGTTTCTCTCCATTAAAGTTTTCTTTTTCAAAAAGGTGTTTAGTTAGCAACCTAGAATGGTCAGCATACAGCCTTCTCGACTGTGTAAAGTCCAGATTCTCATTTTGAATTATTCCATGTTTAGCCACATGGTCTCTGGTGCAGTCATTTAAAACCCATTCAGCAGGGTCAGAGCTCACTCCTATTTGTACAAAAGGATCATCAAATTCCACTGAACCCGAAGGACCTGATTCAGAAGTCTCAGTTTCTATGGCAATACTAGTACTACTGGTAGCTAGTGAAGTATCATAACTGCATGTAGCAACATCAGTTTCACAGATGTCAGCAGTTAAATCTTCAACTACCTCCTCACCCTGCTCAGTTTTAGAAGAAGCCACAGGTTTCGCAAAAAAGAGTTCAATTTTTCCTGTCTGTTCAAGCTCCCTGGCTTGTTTTTCACGCCTAATTTTTGCATTTTTTTCGGTAACCTGCTCCACTTAGCCTTTTTCGCCCGTCACTCATGGCTGCTAAGAATAGTACCAATGCTGTGAAAATCAACCGAGATAGCATCAGTGAAAATCAACCGCCATATTGTCAGTGAAAATCAACCGCCATAACGACAATGAAAATCAACAGACATAGCGTCAATAAAAAAAATCAACTGACATAGCACTAGTGATGTACCGAACGGTTCGCCAGCGAACGGTTCCTGGCGAACATAGCATGTTCGCGTTCGCCACGGCGGGCGAACATATGCGCGGTTCGAACCGCCCCCTATTCGTCATCATTGAGTAAACTTTGACCCTGTACCTCACAGTCAGCAGACACATTCCAGCCAATTAGCAGCACACCCTCCCTAGCAGACCCTCCCACCTACTGGACAGCATCCATTTTAGATTCATTCTCAAGCTGCATGCTTAGTAGAGGAGGGAAAGTGTAGCTGCTGTTCATAAGATAGGGAAAAGCATAGCTAGGTTAGGGATAAGGGTATGCTTTTTTTTTTCTATGTAATGTAATTGCACTTAGTTGTCTGCCACTGCTGCCAGCTTCTGTGTCAGGCTCACAGTGCATACTGTGCCCATTTCCCCAGTCAGTGCCACCACTTACATCTGGTGTCACAATAGCTTGGATTTAAAAACAAAAAACTTTTTTCACTGTTATAGATTGAATAGCAGTCAGTTGTCTGCCACTGCTGCCATCTTCTGTGTCAGGCTCACAGTGGATACTGTGCCCATTTCCCCAGTCAGTGCCACCACTTATATCTGGTGTCACAATAGCTTGCATTTAAAACAAAAAAACGTTTTTTCACTGTTATAGATTGAATAGCAGTCAGTGTCCTTAAAGCGGTTGTGTTACGCTAACAGTGGATACGGTGCCCAGTGCCACCACTCACTGGTGGCATAATAGCTTG